CAATAAAACATGTCTTCTGTCGGAATGAAAGACGCGATCCCAGACATGTTATCTTCTTCAGATACATTAACAATACTTACCAGAGTTTCCTCCAGAGGGGGAATGCAATAACATTATTTTCATTGGGATTAGGGCTGGGACAACGCGTCGACGTAATCGGTGACGTCGACGCAAAAAATACACCGACGTATAATATTCGCGTCGGTGCGTCACACACAAAACAAAGATGGCGGCGAGCGGTAGCAATGCGAGTGCCGTGTTAGAGAAGTGCAAGCCGGTGTAACGCTGAGATACACTGCCTTGAAGAGATGCACAGCCTCAGCTGTTTATGATGTAATGCAAACCTGCGCATGCGCGTCTCACGGCAGCCGAAGCAAACCAAGATGGCGGACCGTGAATTTCTTTAAAAGTTAAAATACGAACGAATTCAGACACGAATGTCACTTTTAATGCAATTTGAGGTGAGATGTTGATGGTTCCGTTTTGTCACATGTGGGTTTTAAGAGTCAAAGTTTCGTGCAAAGTTTAGTTTAAGCAGTCAACTGCGCCTGTGAAACCACAAAGCTAATGTTTTCATGTGTTGGCTGCTGACGTAGGCTGATGACGCGTCCTGTGGCAACTCTACAGCTTACAACTAGTCTGTCTTTCTTTGTATCAAACGGAATATTGGCGCCCGTAATAGCCCCTACATGTATTATTCACTGTCATGCCCGCCGTATATGGACATTTTTCAACATGTGTTCAATATCCTTAATGTGTTTAACTGTTGATTGATTCTCTGATCTGTGTTGGTGACTTCAATGTTGTTTTAAGTCCTCTGAGATGACCTCTACTGTATTCTTTCAGTAACTCTAAAAGAAAGGATGACTGGTTGACCTTTTTATTTGCTACACAATGCATTGTTTTTCTCTTGTACACTCTTACTTGAATTTTATTTTTGAATTTTGAGTTTAAGAAAAAGGTGAGTGGCAGAGTTTTGACTGTTATTTTTATATGAATGAAGAATTTAAGAGATGCACTTTAATTAATGGACTTCAGTAATATAGGCCTATGTGTCTTCAACTTAAATGTTAAACTCTGTTGGTTCAGGAAGGACGCCATGACAGGCTGATGGCGCCCACTGTTTTTGCTGGAAAAGCACTCTTTGTTTAGCTTAAAGCCTTCAAGTTTACATTGGTTACTGTTTTCTTTTAGTTGCTCTACACAAGTATTTGGCTGAACTTTTTCATATTTTTATTGAATGCTAAGCATCAAATGTTTGTTTCAAGAATGATAAGATGCACTTTTTTTTTGGTTAGTGAGATTTATTGATTTTAAATGCTACAAAATAAGAAAAATGGACTAATAGTTTTGAGAACTTTAAATGCACCAAAGCCACTGAGAAAAATGTTATTACAAAATATATACAGTATATTAATTCTCAGGGTTCACAGTCTGGAAGTCACTCATTCGCAGCCCTTCCTCCCCCAGACGAATAAACAAAGCCCACCCTAGCCCCCTGTTGTTTCGGTCATCACCTCATTTGACATGCAAATGTTAGCAACCCAAGTAGCGGGTTAGCTCCTCTTCTCTTAAACTAGCCCCAAATTTGGCTGGGCGTTCTAGTGTTAAGGTTTTATGCTACCTCTAAGAATGTCTTATTTTTGAATTTTAAGAGCAAGCAATAAATATTTTTTGTGAAGGAATTCATGTTTTTTTCATTAAAATATTTAAATCAACATGTATACATCAATATTAGTCAATTAATGGGGAGATAATCGAGAATCGAATCGAAATCGAATCGAAGCGAAAAAAATAATCGTTAGATTAATCGATGCATTGAAAAAAATAATCGCTAGATTAATCGTTTAAAAAATAATCGTTTATCCCAGCCCTAATTGGGATACATCTGATCTGGCTCACTGTCTAATCTATAATCTGAAACATGATGATAGTAAAAAAATTACATAAAAACACCAAATCAGAAACTTCCATACAGGAATAATGTGTTCTGAATAGGAGTCTCCTCAGCTGAATAGCGGTTCTCTTTTTTGAGGTCTTGCAGATTTAGTTTTAAGCGTGATTTTCACTGTATATGAACTTGGTGTGTTCATCCTGATTGGCTAAGGAAGAACCAGTGTATTGTGTTCTGCGTCCTGATTGGCTAAGGAAGAACCAGTGTATTGTGTTCTGCGTCCTGATTGGCTAAGGGGTCATCTCTGTGCCGTGTTTCCTGTATTACAGCATTCAGCCTGACAAATGTAAATCCATGTCTGATTGCAGTGTGACTGTAAGTGCTGTATGCTAATTATCTCCTTGACAAAACCGTGGACTAAACCCACAACATGGTTAGTGCTAAAAAGTTGCAAATGTTGCAACGATGACAGCAAAGAGGAGCACGGTGCGGAGCCCAGGCCTTTGACGAGGGATTTTCACACAGCACTAAGCCCATTTTTTTCAAAAAAAAATTACAATTTTGATTTCAAGATTTCAAAAGGTTATAACTTTAAAGTTTGAGATAAAGGCATTTTGTAAATGAGAACTATCTTCAGTATGAACCAAACTTTGGGATGGATGTTGATTCGTCATCTAATTTGCATATTGTGACGTCATCAAGGTGGTGGCCATTTTGGAAAATGTTAATTATTGTATAAAGATTTCAAAAAGATGTAGTTTGAGAGTGTATTTTGAGATCAGGGAATACCATCAACAGTCTACGTGAAATATCTTTAGTATGAAAACACAATGTGGGATAGAAATAAATTCACTGATCAAATTTATATAGAATATTTTAGCACTGGTCCACGGCCATATGGAACTGTATTAGACCTTCAATAATCAAGATGGCACTGCTTATAGTTTACCAGTCATGAAATCTGCACTTTGGTTTCAATATTACCCTTTCAAAAGACCTGGTGGCATACAGTTTATCTCAGTGGAAATGAGGCTCCAGAATTCATCGTTTAGAAACAGAGCGATTAAATGAATGGGCTCAGAACTTGTCAGATTGTCTCAACAATAAACAACAGGCTCTTCAACATTTCTGATCCACTTTTATGGATTATCTTCTCTAAAGAACTGCCTTCATCATCATCATCTCCGTCCGTAAAGGCAGATTAGCGGTGCGTTTTCTTCCGTGGCTTCTGCCACGTCTCCTGCGTTCCCCGCGGTTGTTTAACCCTGCTGCATTCACCCATATGCCCGGTGTTATGATCCCCCTGTCCCCTTCACCACGTCTCCTGTCTGGTGTTCGCAGAATGTTTCCACTGTGGCCGCACACCGCGGTAAAGAGGTCCGGGTTTTTGGAGTCAGCGGTAGAGAGGTCCGCACATTAAAAGCGGGTGGCCGCTTTATGTTAAACAGTGCATTGTGGCGGCTCATCCCCACGTCTTCTCTTTCCAATGTTGCTGTAATTAACAGCAGAAAGAGGCTATCCGCTTTTAATGTGCGGACCGCTTTACCGCTGACTCCGCTGCGCCGCAGGTGTTTTACAAACTCATTTTACTCTAATACTTTGAATATAACCATTCCCACAAAGGCCGCTCATATTAAAGGCACACATGTCCACTAACTCCTCGTGAAAAGTATTAACAAAAATTACTGCAATAAACGTGTGTGGTTATTATTATTTTTTTCTGGGGCATTGGACCTTCTATGTTTTAGAAAAAATGTAAACGTTAACAAAATCAAAAGTGTCTCAGCCTGTACTTGAACCTAAGTCCTCTGGCACCACAGTCCATCTCCTTATCAATGAGCTATAAAGCCACAGCAAATCGTCCGGTGAAGAGAGAATAATGAGCAGTGAGAAGCCAATGTTCTCTGCTCACAAGTGCCACCTGGTGGTTGTTTGGGTCATTGCAGCATCACTGGGAAAAAAACAAATAAAAGACGCGTGAATCACACGTGAGTCTCGTGTGATTCACGCGTGAAAGGCGACAAAACGAAATGGGACCTACTGTAGAGTGACCAGGCAATAATGAAACACCAGTGTACTATATACATTTCACCATATACACATATCACTATATTAAGAAAAATAAACCATGTACAAAATGACCTATCGATGACTTGACAATATCAAAAAACATTTCTCATAAAAATATGCTTAAATTGAAGTCGTCATTCAACCTTTTGGGGCTAGGGTCTGACGTGTGTAGATCCAGTAGGTCTCTCTGTTTGAGCAGTCGGTCGTGGTCTCCTCTGGGTGGAAGGGGGACTTTCTCAATGCCAAAGAATCTTAAAGCACTGATGTCGTGGTTGTGGTCATTAAAATGTACAGCTACAGGGTAGTCTCTGTCGTTCCTGCGGATGGTGCTCTTGTGTTCACTGATTCTCTGTTTTAGTTTTCTTGTAGTTTTACCAATGTAGGCCAAACCACATGGGCACTTAAGCATATAAACTACATGTGTGGAGGCACATGTAATCACACTTTTAATCACCATTAATAACACAAGAGCACCATGTGTTGCTCTTGTGTTAGCAGACAATCCCTCAGTTGTCTGCTACAACTGAGGGATTTTATTTGTATCTTTTTAATTTACTGTGATTATTTATAATTGTAATGTCTTGTATGATGGTTTCTATTTTTTTTTCAGTGCTTTGATTTTCCTTTTGTTTGAACTGTGCTATACAAATAAACTTTCCTTGCCTATTGCAAAAAGTATGTCTCGACTAGAAAGTGATTCTGCAGAAGTTAAGTGGGTTAATTGGACTGTAAATGGACGTCATATAAACGTCAATATTCTGGTCATATAAGTCGGACCCGACTGCTTCTGTATCACATTTCAACCTGGAATGGACATGCCATCACCGTCAAATTTTCATTTTTCAGGCCCGAACGAAACTAATTAATGTATATTTTTATAATCAACCATTTCATTGTGTGTATTATTACTTTTTTTTTTTTTCAGACCAATTTCATTTGACGGAAATCCGTCACCTTTAAGCCCTGTCTTGCAGGTATCAGAACGGTGTTGAAGGTGTTCAAAGTTAAGAACACCTTCAACAAACCTTGTACAAACCTGCTCAGACAGCCAGCCGATGTGCTTGAGGTGGGGGTGGGCGGTGGGTGACGTGGCCTCCAGGTAAGAGTTGATGTGGGACAGGGCCAGAGGCAGCAGGGCTGCCGTGTTGGTGTGGATAGCGGTGAACCAGGCGTTGGCACTGGAGGAGTCCTTACAGCGGAGCACCAGCATGTGTTGTCCATCAGGAGAATGGAGCTCCAGCAGGCTGGGACAGGAGGACCATGGAGTTAGAACATCAAAACCATCAGAACGATGCAGATGGACTGAACACAAACGTGCAATGACTTTGTGTCTTTTTCATATTGCTCTAAATATATTGAGACTACATAATGATCTTTCAATAGTTACACATGACAATAACGTGTGACATGTTAGCACGTTACATCCATCAACCTAAAAATGATGTGCCAGGGTTTAAATGGGTTTTGAACAATGGGCTTGGATTGGTCAAGACCACAGGATTGCTTTTCCTGTGTGTGTGTGTGTGTGTGTTGGAACATCCATGATTAAGGGTGTTTCAATATATTCAAAGTCAATGGTGACGCACATTCGAGCTTCAAAACGTCTCAGAATGCACGCACGGAAGTCAAAGGGGAGGAACGCAGGAGATGGATTTTGCTCAACCTTTCCTCGTTTGTGCAGCAACCAATCAGAACGCCGCAAAGTGGTCATGGGGACATTTGCAGTCTCAGCGAGCAGACTGAAAATACTTGTAAACAGCCAAAACAGGAGCTACATCAGGACTAAACCAGGGTTGACAACGGGGGAATCTGTGCTTGTGAACATGCGAGTACTCATGCTCCCGTGACTTTATGCAGCTGCTTCGAGTGTGCTTGCCGATGCGGAAGTACCGTATAATAATAAAATAAACTTATTGCGCACCTCCGTAAACACATACTACTGTTATATAAAGTCCGTGGAAGGTCTCTGAACACAGGCACGCTGCAAAGCTGCATTATTGGAGAAGACCTGTACACAAGAAGCCGCTAACTAAACTCTGTTAGCATCAGAGCCCACCGGCTACTTCCGGCGCGCGCCAGGACCTCTGGTCTGAAGACCCCTGCGTCTGAAAACTAGAGAACGTGCGTTTCAGCGTTGCCGGTCTGAAAGCACCATTAGAGAGGCAATGTATATATAATTAAAAAGACTGCAATAATGGCCTTATGGTTTAGTTGATATAAGGTGTATTAGGGGTAGCGAATCACTAATCTCACAATACAATAAAATACTATATTCAGCTTATGATGCTATATACAGTGCCTTGGGAAAGTATTCGGCTCCCTTGAACCTTTCAACCTTTTGCCACATTTCAGGCTTCAAACATAAAGATATAAAATTTAAACATTTTCTCATGAATCAACAACAAGTGGGACACAATCGTGAAGTGGAACGAAATGTATTGGATAATTTAAACTTTTTTAACAAATAAAAAACTGAAAAGTGGGGCGTGCAATATTATTCGGCCCCTTTACTTTCAGTGCAGCAAACGCACTCCAGAAGTTCAGTGAGGATCTTTGAATGATCCAATGTTGTCCTAAATGACTGATGATGATAAATAGAATGCACCTGTGTGTAATCAAGTCTCCGTATAAATGCACCTGCTCTTTGATAGTCTCAAGGTTCTGTTTAAAGCGCAGAGAGAACCATGAAGACAAACGAACACATCAGGCAGGTCCGAGATACGGTTGTGGAGAAGTTTAAGGCCGGATTTGGATACAAAACGATTTCCCAAGCTTTAAACATCTCAAGGAGCACTGTGCAAGCAATTATATTGAAATGGAAGGAGTATCAGACCACTGCAAATCTACCAAGACCCGGCCGTCCCTCCAAACTTTCATCTCAAACAAGGAGAAGACTGATCAGAGATGCAGACAAGAGGCCCATGATCACTCTGGATGAACTGCAGATAACTACAGCTGAGGTGAGAGAGTCTGTCCATAGGACAACAATCAGTCGTGCACTGCACAAATCTGGCCTTTATGGAAGAGTGGCAAGAAGAAAGCCATTTCTCAAAGATATCCATAAAAAGTCTTGTTTAAAGTTTGCCACAAGCCACCTGGGAGACACACCAAACATGTGGAAGAAGGTGCTCTGGTCAGATGAAACCAAAATAGAACTTTTTGGCCACAATGCAAAACGATATGTTTGGCGTAAAAGCAACACAGCTCATCACCCTGAACACACCATCCCCACTGTCAAACATGGTGGTGGCAGCATCATGGTTTGGGCCTGCTTTTCTTCAGCAGGGACAGGGAAGATGGCTAAAATTGATGGGAAGATGGATGGAGCCAAATACAGGACCATTCTGGAAGAAAACCTGTTTGAGTCTGCAAAAGACCTGAGACTGGGACGGAGATTTATCTTCCAACAGGACAATGATCCAAAACATAAAGCCAAATCTACAATGGAATGGTTCACAAATAGACGTATCCAGGTGTTAGAATGGCCAAGTCAAAGTCCAGACCTGAATCCAATCGAGAATCTGTGGAAAGAGCTGAAGACTGCTGTTCACAAACGCTCTCCATCCAACCTCACTGAGCTCGAGCTGTTTTGCAAGGAAGAATGGGAAAGAATTCCAGTCTCTCGATGTGCAAAACTGATAGAGACATACCCCAAGCGACTTGCAGCTGTAATTGCAGCAAAAGGTGGCGCTACAAAGTATTAGCGCAAGGGGGCCGAATAATATTGCACGCCCCACTTTTCAGTTTTTTATTTGTTAAAAAAGTTTAAATTATCCAATAAATTTCGTTCCACTTGACGATTGTGTCCCACTTGTTGTTGATTCTTGACAAAAAATTATTTTTTTCTATCTTTATGTTTGAAGCTTGAAATGTGGCGAAATGTTGAAAGGGTCAAGGGGGCCCGAATACTTTCGCAAGGCACTGTATATCCTGATATTCAGCCAACATTATGATATGATACAATACACAATAGCTCACAATATGATATACATCGCGATAATCAGCCAACAATAGGATACAATTTGATATAATTTGATATAATGAAAAAAACTATTTATATTGCAAATCGATTTTCTTCTACACCCCTCGTATGTATTATTGAGACCTAAATCTGCAGATCCACAGCCCTCGTGATGTTGGTGCATGTATGGGACTGACCGGTTCTCCAGGTCAGGCATGGTCAGATTGCGGCTGACAAAACACATGTTGAGACTGATGACTTTCCTGTCTCGGTCTCTGGAGCTCTGTAGAGGCAGGTCGTCCGTGATGATGGCCCAGGGCAGGTCTGCCACCAGCGACAGCTTCTTGAAGAGTGGTGACACTTCACGGATGTATTTGACTGGACACAAACACAGTTCATATTATTACAACCAAGCCAAAGTTCTCTTCTAGTGATCATGACTCAAACACAATTATGTGAATATGTTTGAGTGGTTAGCTGCCACATCTCACAGCGAGGTGGAGTTTTCATGTGTTGTTTATTGTTTATTTGGTTGGGACAGTACATGTTAATGAACACATCACTCCAGATTGTAGCTATGGGCTAATTTGCATCCGTTGTCCCACATTCGTACTCACAAACACACACTCCTTCTTGGGATCAGGGTACTTTTTTGTACCACCTCGACAGTCCAAGTGTGCCGAAGCTACACCATAACGTGACGTCAGCTGCCTTACGTGTCTTCACTGGAAGAGACGTACGACCCTATGGTAAAAACAATTCAACCCCACCATCTTTAAAACCGGCGGCTCTGCTATAATACATATACTATTTTTGATGGAAATCACACGAACTCGGTCGTGTCGTACCGTACCGTACTGTACTGTTACTGTGGAAAAGCGGCAATAGTCTGCTGGGACTGAGTGGGACTTCGCGGGGCCCGGAGAAAGCCGGCTGGCTCGCACCCCACGGCAGCATTTATGCTTCCTCGGCAGGGGCGCATTCACGCACCAGAGACAGTCGGGAAAATCCGCCAGGTAGAATGAATCCGACTGTTTTTCATCATGATTCATGCAGGTATACAGTCTTAATCCTATAATTAGCAGCCCATGGCGATTGTACACAATCAGGGAGTCTATGGTCCTTGTGAAATGTGTTAAAAACAATATAAAGCTGATAAAACAGCAGAGTCAAGCGGCGAACCAGACACCCCGGCGCCATCTTTGACTCAATATATTAATTGATATTACTTTATATACTCTACTTACTCTAGAATGGGGTAAAAAACAAGAACCTGACATTGAAATGACGGAACCAGAGAAGCCTTCAAAACAGAGGGGTGAGTCGACCACCACAAACATACACATACACATATTTATATGATACAAATTATTTATCTTTATAAAGGTCAACAAATGGAAAGGGGTGCTTGTGCTAGTCGTGGACGTTCATCAAAGCGGTCAGCATGTGGTAGCATGCAGACAGAATGGATGAAAGGGGACTGGTGTCCACGAGACATACCCTTCACTGCCACTCCAGGACCACGAGGTGCAGCTGCTCGACTGACATCTGATAAGCCTATAGATTATGTGAACTTGTTCATAACAGATGCATTGCTGGAGACAATTGCTGAGCAAACCAACCTCTATGCTGAGCGAACCAGGATTGACTCTGGGGGGAGCAGAGTGCATTCTTGGAAAAATGTGACTGGAGGAGCTCAGGCGGTTTTTTGGCATTTTCTTTCTCACTGGCATTATCAAAAGGCCTTCCTTGGCTAGTTATAGGAGTACAGATGAACTACTCGTCACACCCTTCTCCAAAACCATGCCACAAATAAGACTCCAACTTTTTTGCACTTTAGGACAACCAGGCTAACGATGGCGGTGATAGGCTGTATAAAGTCAGGCCTGTGTTAGACCATGTTTTGTCTACGTTTGGTGAACTTTACCAGCCCAACTGTAATATTTGAATTGACGAGGGCATGATGGCTTGGCTTGGACGCCTCACTTTCAGAGTTTACAGCCCCCAGAAACCAATCCAATATGGTATAAAATCATACATAATCTGTAATTCAGACACAGGTTACTCTTTTGGGATGAAACCATATTGTGGGGAAGCGGGGAACCTGGGGGACACTCTAGTTACCCTCCTTGACAGGCTGGCTGGGCAGGGATACAAATTGCACATGGACACTGTAGCACTTGCTGACCAGCTCTTACAGTTAAAAACCCACATTTGTGGGACACTGAGAAAGAACAGAGGGGAACAACAGGCTCTTAGTAGCATTTCCAACTCTAATCTTGAGCCAGGGGAGGTCATTGCGCTTTACAACAATGTGGTCATGGTCCTTGCTTGGAGTAGCAATGCAAGACTCAGTGGACACTCTGTGGTGAAAAGAGGTCATCGTCTTACTCACTTTAGTTCATATGATTCTGAGCAGCTAAATAATCGGAATATATACTGTAGCTGCCACCACTATCAATAAGCGCATTTTTATTCATAGAATCCATAAGTGTGTACATTGTTCTGATATTCCGTTTATTTCCCTAGATATGAATTGATAAAGTTGACAAACCTGAGGCTGAGTGGGCAACAGATAGTCTGGACTCGGAAAAAAAAATCAGTCAGGATATCTCCAGGATTCAGCGCGGGTTAAGGAAGTCGCGGCGAGGTGATATTTACAGGGTAAACAGATCTCTTATTACAACGCATTAGGGTGAAAGTGGCATCTCTCCAGCTGTTGCGGTTACGGAGATATGATTTGATGAACTTAAGAGCAAAATACACAGTAAGTAACTGGGATTTTGGAAAACGAGCAAACTACACTAGACGATCAGAGACAGTGTGACATTTTCGATGAAAAGGTGATTTATGCCATTGAGCCAACAGAGGCCCTGTGCCCAGAGACTCCAGCACAGCTGAAGACAGAGACACAAAATGATGACACGTTACAGAACATTCATAAGAGAGGCTGACCACAACACAGAAAACAAGTTGATAATAAAGTGGTACAGTACTGGCCTATCAGACATACAGTGTCAGTGAAGGAAGGAATAATGTTAGCAAAAAGAGAGCAAACATGTTACAAAAATTACATGTGGCCCACCAGGGCATGCAACGCACCAAAGCTCTGGCCAAAGTCCACTGGTATTGGCCAGGAATGACAAGAGACATAGAAAGAATGGTTGAGTATAGTGCAACCAGTCAGCAGTTCCAACCCTGCCACCAGAGGGAACCAATGATCAGGCTTAAAGCGGGAGCTGACATATTTGAGATCAGTGGTTAATCATTCATTTTGATAGTGGACTATTTCTCCAAATACCCAGAAGTGTTGAACATCAAAGACAAGACAGCTAACACAGTTATCAGTAAAATGAAGTCTGTATTTGCCATAGTTGGAATACCTAAAGAAATAGTCTGTGATCATATGCCATTTGCAAGCCAGGAGATGAGAACATTTGCGATGGCGTGGGGCATTAAAATTACTCATTCTAGCCCCGGTTATGCTCAGTCAAATGGCCTTTCAGAAAGAACTGTAAAACATTTGTTGAAGAAGGCCAAGCTCACTAACTCTGACCCATTTCTCGCACTATTAAGGCTGAGAAACACGCCTATAACAGGTATGGGCTATTCTCCGGCACAAATGCTTATGGGTAGAGTACTCAGAAGCACACTACCGAGTTCAAGCAGTGTTTTACAACCATCTATCTCAACGAATGTGCATTCTACTCTTCAAACCCTCCAGCAAAAGCAGTGCACATACTACAACAGGGGCACAATGAAGCTTCAAGAGCTTCCTGCAGGAGGAATAGTGCACATGCATGTAAAAAAATAACTTGTGTAATGTTTAGGGCTGCAACTAACGACTATTTTAATAGTCGACTAGTCACCGACTATTGAAACAATTAGTTGACTAATCGGGTTTCTTTTTTCTTATTATATTTAGCCTGAAGTTGCTTTAATTATGTGGCAAATGATAACAAACACAATAAAGATGGGTACTTCAACGAAAAATGCATCTTTTATTTTACTTTGCTGCTGGTTCATACAAAATGTAAATAAAAATGTATTATCTAAGACCAATTTGCCACAGTGCTTGGTCAGTATAGATCAGCGCTTCTCAATTATTGTTTGCCAGGCCCCCCTTAGGTACAGGAAAACATTTCGCACCCTCTACCTTCTGAGCTATCTTCTGAGCTAAAAAAATCCTCTCTCTGCCCAAAAAGTAAAATATTGACTAACATAGTTCTTTCTTAATTATGCAAAAAAACAAGACTTCTATTGTGTTTTTTTTGTAATAGTTTAAGTACCCCAGCTTTAATGTAGTAAGTTTTAGTTTCTGGGCTACAGGAGGACACACGGGGGACACTTCTAGAGGCTCACTGAGTTCATCTGTATTTCTCACAGCGCTGTATTTATCGCGTCCACAGGTTGTTCAAAGATCCGCACTTGTCCTGTCCGTGCTGGTCACATAATGGCTTCGCTTTGGCCGTGCGCTCGCCGCGCTGTTTTCAAAGCAGCTTCACAGAACCGCTTTTATTCACTACAAAGCGGCCACGCTCCGGGATCTTGAGATATCTCTCATGCTTTCTCTTCAAATGTTCGTGCATCACCGAGGTGCTGCCGTGATACGCAATGTCTGCATTGCAAACCTTGCAAGTAAACTTTTTATCTGCCGTATCCAGACTACAATGCTGCCAAATTTTAGAAGTTTTTCTACACAGAGCTGATGGACGCCGCCTTCACTGTTTACGTTTCCGCTCGATAGACACTCTTGCGCATGTGCGACTCCCGGCAGAGATTGTGAGACGGGAGATGCCTCACTCTGTTGGAAAAACACGTCTGGCGACAATAATCGACAATGAATTCCATTGTCGACTATTTCCATTATCGATTTTTGTCGACAACGTCGACTAATTGTTGCAGCCCTAGTAATGTTATTGCAACTTGTTATCAGAGGTCAAATGTTAAAATCTAAATGTGTATTGTGTGAACATGCAGGTAAAAGAAGTTCCTAATCATATGTTGTATTGATCTAGTTTACAGAGAGACCTCATTGTTTATTTTGCAGAAAAGGGAGGATGTAGTATATAGTGCCGCGCACTGATATGTACACAGTAGGGCTGCACGATATAGAAAAAATATTGTTATCGAGATATTAGTGCGTGCGATTTCCATATCAAAAACATCCGCGATATTAAAATATTTTCTTCCTTTATTAAAGACAACAAAACAGACAGCCAAAACAAACATCAACATTCAACAAGAACAACAAACAAACAAAAAAGTATATAGATTGTGCTGGCGAACTGCTTTAAGTTGTCGTCCCACTCCCCCTTCTCACCGGAGGGAAATGGCGGGTGGAACTGTTCACCTGCGCAATCCGCACCCACCCGGTG